GCGTGAACATTTGGGTTATGCAAATCGTCCCACAGTGACGTAGACATGTGTGGGCGTGTTTAAAAGAGGCGTTTTAGGTAGGCGTGGTCGAGTCTTAACTTTTATAAAGAATATCTCTTTGGGTTTGAGACTTTAGTCTTTGCAACTTTAGGGATCTTATCTTTGCACGAACAGCTTGTAACACTCCAAAGAGAAAGGAAAACTTGAAATCGCATCATATGCAGCTTGTAACACTCCAAAGAGAAAGGAAAATTTGAAATTGCATCATTTAAACCACATAAACACATTGCATTACACCAAATACACAAAATAATGTTCTTTTTAGTAACGTCACATGACCCCTTTAATGAGTTAGTGTGATAGCGCATTAACTTGCCCAGCCCTAAAATAAATAAAAAAAACAATAGCTTGTATTCTATTTCTCTTTTCTTTTTATTTATTATACAATTAACAAAAAGAAAAAAAGGCCTCTAACAATAGCTTGCTCTATTCTTTTTCTATTCTGTTCGTTTTCTTTTTATTTAGTATATAATTTATATACTAAAAACAAGTATATTTTTATATAAAAAAACAAAAAAACTTTGCTATGTAACCCTGTTATCCTGTATTCTGTAGCAAATTATCTAGGTCCATGTTAACAGATGGATTTGAAATCTAACCAAACACTAGGGATTGTCACAAAACTTACCTCAGTATCTCTAATTTGCAATTTATATTCTTCAGTCCAGTGCAGAGCAGCTTCACTCCTGAATCCTGCAGATTATTATTGTTCATATTCAGCTCTTTCAGACTGGTATCTGATCCAAGAACTGTAGAGAGAGCTGGACAGCTTTTGTCTGTTATGTCACAATCATTTAGCCTGCAAGAGAAATACATCAAATCAGAGTTAGATACATGTAATACATTTGCTAAAAAACAAAATAAATTTATATCAATTATTTTTACACGAACAGTAAATATACTGCATATATATTAGAATTGTATTGATTCAAATTTCCAAGATAAAACAAAATAGCATGCTTGAATAAAACTTAGGTTTATATAATTAATGGCAATGAGTTATACATTTAAAAGTGCTGCTCTATTATCTTGATGAGTGTCTTGAGGTGGAGAATCTGAAGGTTAATCATTTATGCATTGAGGTTATGCAAGAGTATATCTCCTTTATAGCAGACGTTTAAGAAGTTGAACTGCATATTAGAGTAGAAATAACTATGAAACAATATGTTTTATAATAACATGATGTGCTTCTTCTGCAGCTAACTAAACAGCTTGTTTTGCTGAAAAGAGAAATCTGCGTCAACAGACCCTGTAAGAGTCTCTGATTGGACTGGAGTGACAAACCAAGGAGGAATCGAAGAAAAAGATCCAGGTGTCCATTATCACTCTCTAGTGCCTTGTCCACTGCAGTCTTGAGCAAATCAATCATGGATTCACTTTTGTTTTCCTGTTCTGTAGAGTCTTGATCAAACACATATTTCTTGTTGATGTCTAGAAACAGATGTGCATAAAGGGCTGCAATAAACTCTTGAATGCTCAAGTGAACGAAGCAGTACATGGTACCAAGAACGATCCCTGTTTCCTCCTTAAAGATCTGGGTACACATGCCTGAGTACACTGATGCCTTACAGACGTCAATACCACAGGCTTCCAGATCTGTGTCATAGAAGATCACATTGTTTCTTTCCAGCTGATCAAATGCCAGTTTCCCCAGTGAAAAGATGGCATCTTTATCCCAGGAAACATCTGGTGTGTATTCTCCATCATACTTTCGTCTGCTCTGCTGGATCTGAAATCTGAGAAAGTGTGTGTACATTTGTGTCAGAGTCTTAGGAGTGTCTTCAGTATTTGACTCCTGCAGTGTTTTGGAGGCATCATCAGCCTGATTGTTTTTCACAACATTATTTCTTTTCTCCTCTAAAATGTTCTGGAGAACAGTGGCTGAAATCCAGCAGAAGACTGGGATGTGGCACATGATAAAGAGACTCTTTGATTGTTTAACATGAGCAATGATTTCTTTGGCCAGATTCTCATCCATTAATCTTTTTCTGAAGTACTCCTCCTTTTGTGCATCATTGAATCCTCGTATCTCTGTCAGCCGGTCGATACAGTCAGGAGGAATCTTACTGGCAGCTGCTGGTCTGCTGGTGATCCAGATGAGAGCAGAAGGAAGCAGATTTCCCTTGATGAGGTTCGTTAGGAGAACATCCAGAGAGGCTGGTGATGAAACATCAGACCACGTCTCATTATCCTCAAAGTTTACAGGAAGTCGACATTCATCCAATCCATCAAGAATGAACAGGACTTTGAATTGATTTCTTCTTGTAAGCTTCAGTCCTTTTGTCTCTGGGAAAAACTGAGTTATAAGGTCCATCAAACTTAGTTTTTCTTGCTCCTTTAAGTTCATCTCTCTGAATGGAAGAGGAAATATGAAGCTGATATCTTGATTTTCTTTTCCTTCGGCCCAATCCAGAACAAACTTCTGCACAGAGACTGATTTTCCGATGCCAGCAACTCCTTTTGTCAGTACAGTTCTGATCTGCTTGTCTTGTTCAGGTGCTTCAAACACATTTTTGCACTCAACCTGTATCTCCTGTGATTCATGACGTCTGGAAGCAACTTCAATCTGTCTCACCTCATGTTCAGTATTGACCTGTTCACTACAACCCTGAGTGATATAGAGATCTGTGTAGATGTTCTTCAGAAGTGTAGAGTCACCGTGCTTTGCAATTCCTTCAAACACACATTGATACTTCTTCTTTAGGCTATATTTTAGCTGATGAATGAAGAACAGCTCATCTAAACACAGGAATAAAATATACAGATAGTTTAGTCTCTGGGTTTGTTATCTACAGAACAGAATGTGGAAGTCTAAAGGAAGTCTGTCATTGGAAGAGACAGGGCAGGTTATCAACACATAATATGAGAGGCATATGAACAGCAAACGATCTTCCTCTGAATCATAACAGTGATTGTGAAAGAGAAAACAGACTGACACAGCGCTGGAAGCAGTGAACAGAGTCTCTTACCTTCTAGAGTATCAGCAGCTTCATCTTGCTTCATCTCTCTCAGGAAGCAGAGCGTGAGATCAAGAGCTGCTTCTTTGTTACTGCATCTGTTCTCATTAAACTCCTTCACAAAGTATTGTAAGTCCTCTTTTTGTAATATTTTCTTAAACTTTTCCAGTTCTTTCTTTTCACAAAGTATTGCGCGTTCTCTTTTTGTAATATTTTCTTAAACATTTCCAGCTCATTTTTTAGAAATGTGATTATTTTCTTCTCAAGATCCTACAAACAAAGAACAAAAAACAGAGACAAAAGAACAAAATTAAACCAAATCCACATTCATTTGGTCCAAATTATCTAATCATTAATTACAAATATTTGTAAAAGAAACAAGAAACATTGCCCAGTAACAAATTTGTTTGTTATAAATATAAACATTTATGAAAATATTTTCCAACCTGGAAGATTTCTAGGAGTTTGTCTGTGAAATTCTTGTGGTTCCTGTTAATCTGGTCGTCTGAATCTAATGTCTCATATTGCAGACTGTTAAAATGGTGAATAAAATGAAATGCAGTTAAGGCAAAATATTAGAGAAATCTCTTGCTATGTTTTTTTTTGATCCAACACAAAGAGCAAGCATAAGCTGTTAATGCTGCAGCTATAAGTTAATGCTGTTAAAGAGAAGGTTCTATTGAAGTACAAATTTAAGTTTTTCTGTCCTATAAGGAGAGAACTAATGATGCAGAAAAAAAACAGTATTACAGGAGTTCTTCAGTCTCGTTTGAAATGGTTTAATGCTGCAAATGGTAATTAAACAGATGGAAGGACATATTCATGTCTATGTGGTGAATTTATGCCTCATTGTTGCTGCTGGTGTAATTGTATTCCTGGAAAGAAGCTCTAGATCGAATTCAATAAAAAGGAAAGCAGATATTATGATCTGTGATTTGTTTTATTTAGTTAATTTCTATCTCAAATATCCCAGTGGAGAAATTAGGTAGTGACATATAATACAAAACACATGAAATACCTTTCAGTAGCTGATGGTGTTTCCTCACTGAATCTTGGTGGTTTATCTTTTGAGCGGTCACTCTTCACAGACACAGAGCTGGAAACATGTGAGCCTGATCTTACACTAATGACACAAAGAAGAGAGAGAGAGCTTTTTAAAACTTTAATAAAATCAATTTCATAAATTCTAAAAAGAAACTACAATATATACCTTAATCCAAAAAGAGAAAAGTATAAGTCCCCTTCCATCACAGTAGAGTCCAAGCTCTCTTCTGTAACAGCAGTAGCATCCTCATGTAACACACAAGCTTCATTTCTAACATTGTGCCACATTCAGCTACATTCTCCTCAGTCTCAGTCGTCTCACTTCTCTCACCTTCTTCATTTATATCTTCCCTAGCAATAGTGGCACTGAGCCCAGCTTCAACACTCACCCATCCTTTCATTATTTACAGCTTCAGCATCATTCACTTTCTCAGCGCATACACTTCTAATGTGGCCCTCTCATTATATCAGAGGTAGCAAAAACCAACTAATCGAAATCAAATTCATCTACATCATACTTCAAGACCA